AAAGCTAAATTGACAATGGCCTTAGCTTTATAGATACCTATTTATCCCTATTTTTGTATCTTGAGAATGACCTTTGATTTTAAAAATTGAAGTGGTCAACCAGGTATTTTCTGTACCGCAAGGCATGAGTGAGGTACACCACAAGCTCCCTCCAGTTATCCCTTCCTTTAAGGATTGCAATGACTTCTTCTACATCGAGCTTCAGTTTCCCAAAGTACCTTTGGCGGAACTCTCTCGGAACGGGGCACACTCCTATGAAGTGGAGAGTGTCCTCTGGGACGTTGAGGTTACATAAGGAGCAAATGTCGCGGTCCTGTTTTGGCAGTTCAGCTGAAGCAATTCACCCCTCGCCTTCAATACCAGAGACACCTCATAGGCTGTCATATTTGAGCACTCCGTGTAGTTTCGCGCTAAATCAAAATCCAGTCTTGCGTACAAGTTGTGATGTAAGCTGTTTCTCGCACGGGTTACCAGGTCTTTCCTTTGGCTCGCCTCCCATTTTTTAATCAGGTCAGTGGTATTAGAGGACGCTAAGATTTGCTCTTTTTAACCACTCTTCACCTGTGCTCAGATCGATAAAATCAGGGAAGATGGATTGACGAGCATTTTCTATCCTTTGCCGCAGTTTTTGAACTGAAGTTGAAAGGTTATGATCGGATTAGACACTGACAATGAACCCCCGAAAATAGCCAAATGGAGTTGAATCGGATGACCAAGAAGGCCAACAGATCGGGCGATGAGGTCCTAACCACCTATACCGAAGTGACGATCCAAATAACGTCTCTCCTGAAAAGAATTGTGTGCGAGGCGTCCATCAAGCTGGAGAACCATTCTAAGTCGTTGTTGCAGAGGAACATTGTCTAATAGTGTAGAAAACACCTCCCTCAAAAAATTGAGGAAAGAGCCCCATTTAAATTATTTTTCGTACAAATAAGGCCCAATTAATTTATTTCCGAGATGTCCTCACCAATTTTGATATTGTGAACCAACTGATGATTACAAGAGTACGAAATTCTCGGATTTTCCTCGGCCCACGTTCGAAAATTCCAACGGTTTAGAATGCCATTAGAGGTAAACTTGGATTCATCGTTCCATGGGTGCATGGAAGAACGTTTTCATCAACCTCCCAAATCGACATTTCTGAACGGAACGTAAGACAAGTCCTTGGACAAGATGAGATTGATACGGCTTAAAATTATAAGTTCGGAGTTCATCTCTAATTTCATTTTTTGAGAAACCCCCCTACCATTTCGGAGGGAGGAATTCGGATTTTCGCGAACATACAGTAAAAAAATCAGCTCCTCGTCAAAATTATGCTGCCGGTTTCTTGGTAATTGAACAGCAATTTATCCGTATCTCCTCATATTACGAGCAACACGAATAAACGTTTTATGGTTTACTCAGGAGTTATCAGGAAATGTCCAAGAATACAAATCGATGCACAATATGCGCAATACCACAACTATTAGTAAAGCAATCATACATATCAACTCGCTGTTGATTGGAAAAATGTGCTCTTCGGTTCATTTTGAATTTCCACTCAAAATGAACCTAAAAACACATTTTTCAGATTTTTTCTCGAATCTCAATTCCTGGAAGTAAAGAAATTTTTCAGCAGTACCAGCAGCAGAATGTAAACAATAAAGGCAATTAAGTGGGAAATTAGTGAAGAAGCAAATTATTGGAATTAATAACGAAGCAAGTGAAATGCATTTTTTTCGAACTTTTTGCCATAATTTTTCGTTTTTTGACCAATTTTAAAATTCAATTGCACCATTGGTTTTTTATTTTTTTATTTAATTATTTATTTTTTTTAAAAAAGAAAATCCTTTAAAATGATGTGCCGAGATGTATAGGGTCCTATTTGAGATTTTAAAGTTAAACTGGGTCTATGGTACACTGTATAATTTTTCTCTAAAAATGTAAAAATTTGAATGTAGACTAAAAAATAGTAAACGTTAATTTCTTATAATGCATTGGTTCAAGAGAAATTCTGCCGGGCCATCTAAAAAGGATACCCTTCGACAACAGAATTATTTATTGGATCCCAGCGACCTTAATTTAGATATGTACATAAGTGTGAATGTATTTATTTGTGAGACTGGATTTTCAAATTAGGTTGGATTTAGGCTAGATTAAATTTTGGAAACGTTGAGGGCTGATATGACTAAGCTGTCGGAAGTCCCCGTTGGAGCTTAATCCCTTTGGCTGTGAAGTGACGATCTCCTAGGCAAAAAAGAAAAATGACACTTTCTCATAGATCTAAAACGTTAATTGAATTTTTAATTGTTAAACGTTTCAAATGACCACTGTTATGCAATACTTTCTTGAAGTTGGTGCTTAAATTTTAGGATAGCCAGCCCATAGCTCTTTTCGATGTTTCTTATCTTTGCGTTTTTAATACGTGCTGGACTGTTGCGCAAAGTGAAAATGATATAATATTCGTAGACTAGCTGAAAATTTCCTTTAGTAGAACATTGTTATCTAATTTTGTTAAAACACATGGTGTGCAGCTTAGTCGGAATTATGCTAAAAGTAAATAAGTATATAGCAAAGTAAGAGGTAGTAAAACTCCATATTAAACATTTTTAATGTAGCAATGAAATGTTTTAGATTTAACTGTAAAAGTTTTTTTTATAATTCACACATATAAAAAGTTATTAAGTGACTAAAAACACAGGTACATAAAAATATTTAAAAATTTTATCATGAGCCCTTTTTGCGAAGAGCAGTGTTGTTTACCCTAAATAAAAACTGGGTACGCATTTTTTTCAAATTTTGTCACCATATTTTTTGTGGTTTTATTTAGTTTGCTTGTTTTCTCAATATGCTTCTAAATTGAGATGCTCCTGAAACGTAAAGCAAGTTATTAGGAGTCCTCCGGTCAAAACACTTTTCAATATTTTTTGACAAGGTATTAAACATTAATAATTGTATTAACTTGCTACCCACACATTAAAGTGTAATAAACCACTCCATTTTGAAAGGGAACTTTTTTCGCCGTTATAATGTTTTGTAAGGTTTATACTCCATGTCGATCTAGATAGCACCGGTGAAAGACAACGGTGACGTATTATTTGTTCGTTAGTGGCAAGAGTAATAAATATTAATAATTGTACTGATTAACATCTCATCGTATACTTTAAAGTGTAATAAATCACATATTCCAATGAGAATGTGATGTTGCGGTTATAACGTGATTTAAAATTTAGACGTCATGTCGATTTAGATGGCACCGGTGAAACCAATTGTAAGGGATTTAAATTCGTGGCAAGTACAAAGTAATTCCCACCTTACATGGGCCTTAACGTCCGAATACCATGTAGGTCTCGCGGAAGTGGGGATTTAAAATTTAGACGTCATGTCGATTTAGATGGCACAGGTGAAAAACAACTGGTCTCCAAGTAAAAAGGATATCATTTGGCAGGTGTTGTGGTGCTTATAATGCGTCCTAACTTTTAGAAAGTATGTTGATCTAGATGGCACCGGTGAAACCGAAGAATACAATGTATTTTCATATGATGATATTAAAAAAGCCAAGGGTACTGCCGGTAATCGAACCCAGAACCGCATATACGAGAAGGAAGTCGCACTCCCGCCTTTATTCAATTTAAATGTTTTAGAACTTACAATACTTGGAAATAAGAACGAAGATTTATGTGGCTATCTGATACAAAATCAGTAGAAACGATTTCGCGATGTTTGGTTAGATTAGATAAAAAGATAAAAATCGTGACTTTTGGTTATCGATGTGCAATTTTGCCAAATCTGATTTTTAATGAAAGCGGATACTAATATTTAAAAATATTATTTTTTTAGATTATTTAGAAGGTAATTATTTAAAAAAATAGCATTCGAAGGACAGTCAAATTATCCTGAAATGAGTGGGGCGGGCACGAAGTCATGCACGGTGCCCCGACGTGAGATGAGTTCTACTTCGTACTTGTCACGGACTCATTATGCCGACTCCTACGACATGTAAACCCCGTCGAAAGTGTATCCTCTCTGGAAGGAAAAATGTTTTGTACCGTCCAATTTCAGCGGTGCAGCCCCCTCAGTAATACGGCGGAATATTTTCCCGGACAAATTGCCTGGGGAAGATCTGTTCTTGGAATTATCCTCTGGAGAAATGTCAATACGATTATATTAAAATACTGTGTTATAACCCTTATTTGTTTTGATACTCAAATATTACGATATCCTTATAATAACTTGCAAAAGTAATTTATTATTATCTGTTCGACCTTGTATTACATTTTATTTCTACTAAACTATCGGAACTACGTAATAAATACACAGTACATGATAAACCCAAAAAATAGACATTATTCTGCTTGATCGATCGTTTTACAATTCTAAACCAGAAATCATTTAATTATCAATACTACATAAATATTTCTTATGCAACACAAATTCATAAATAAATCAATATAGAAATAAATAAATAAAATTATAAACACACTGAGAGGCAAAACAATGGGCGCCATATTTTTTTGGTAAATTGGCAGTCGTTATAATTTTTATTTTCTGCTGTACATTGGATATTTGTACAGAAAAATATATGATTAAAATAAAATCCAAAATTAAACTGAGTATAATAATTTTAGCAAAAATCTTGTTATTGAAACAATAAAGAAAATTAATCATTATGTATGGTTTTTGGCTCAAATGAAAAAGTTAGTGCCACGAGCGGGATTCGAACCTTCGACCTTCGGCTAAATACGCCGCTACTCTACCACTTGGGCTTTCGTGACATTGATCCACTCGGGCACTAACTTCCCAGCCCAGCCTACAATTTTTTGAATTTGCCCTCCTTTTTGCCAGTTTTTAAAAGTGTAATCAGGATTCGATTCTCGGCGACATATGAAGTGGCCACGGGGAGCTGTTTGTGAAGTTTACATCGTTTTACTTATTAAATCCATTATATTTAGTGTTCTATTGACTTCTTTCGATTAATAATTCTTTTTATGTAATGTTTTTGGCTGAAATGAAAAAGTTAGTGCCACGAGCGGGATTCGAACCCACGACCTTCGGCTCAACACGCCAATGCTCTTCCACTTGAGCTATCGTGACATCGATGCAGCCGGACACCCGCTCGTGGCACTAACTTTTTTATTTCAGCCAAAAACCTTATATAAGAGATTAATTAATTGAAAGAAGTAATTTGGTCAATAGAGCACTAAATATAATGGATTCAATAAAGAAAATATTCAATTCTGTACGGTGTCTGTCCTCCTCTTGCGTTGATCATCGCTTGCATTCCACGTGGCATCGTATTTATGAGGTTTCTAATATAGTGCTATGGAATATTTTCATACTCCACCAACTGAGGCATTCTTCTTAATTCTTGCTACTTTTCTGGCATCACTGGGCGATATTTTACTTTTTTTTACTTAGCCAAACGTGTTTGATAGGGTTTAACTCGGGGCTTGATGATGTTATAACAACAGATGAAATATGGAACAACAAATCATGTAGAGCCCTAGACAATAGGAAAATAGTCCACTGTCTATACACACGGCAGCAATAAGACGCAAAATGGCATATGGATCGCTACCCGGGTGACCAAGGGAAAACTCAACAAAAACTATCTTTTAAAAAAAAAAATTCTATGAAGTTCGTTTGTCCTTTTTTTGTTATTACACAATACACACTCAGAAGATAAACTTTTACGAGTCAAAGTTCATGTATGCAAATACTTAAAATACGGCACTTAAAAATGTTGTATTATTTTCATCAAGCGGTGAACACACTTACCCGATGCAACGCTATGTGACGCCATTCGATGCTACCGGATTGGTTTACATTAAAATAAGCATGTTGTAATTAATTTAACGATAAAATTACATATACATGGTTCTACATAAACTACAAAAATATGAGTGTCCGGTTTTGACGCAACTCGACGAATATGGTGTAATTTTATAAGCAAAACGATTTAATAAATTGTTAGTTTAATTTTATTAGCAAAACCCATGTAGTAAATCGTCAATTAAATTCATTCTATCAAAAAATGATATCATGATGTTTTGAACAACTGACTGCAAACCGTTGAAATTATTAGTTTTTAAATAAAAAATAATGCATTTTTGAGTAGCGTTGCATAGTGTAAATGTGTTCCCCGCTTTATTGGTTAGTATTTGATTTATAATTAATGATAATTTAATGACAAATTTTTTAAAGAGTTTGTAACGGAAAAATCAATTTTTTGAGCAAGTAATCGTTAATTTTACATTGCTTATAACGTGTGATGATTAGTGACCGTTAGTCGATGATTATTCAGAAATCACGAGATGCGGTCTGGTGTTGTAGGTTTCAGAAAAACATTTTCCTTATCGTGCCAACGTTTCGGTCTTTATTGAGATCATCTTCAGAGCCTGGGATTTACAAACATTGTTTAAATTTAACAAATACATGTAGTATGTGGAGAAAAGTGAATTTATGCAATGCAAAAAAATATATGTATATTTTGTATTCAATCAAAATATTTCTACTCTACTACTACTCTCTACTACTTTATATCTCAATCTTATCTCAATAAAGATCGAAACGTTGGCACGATAAAGAAAATGTTTTTGTCTCACGATTTCTGAAAAATCATTGCTTATAACAGTCTATTGAAAGATTAAATACGTGTGTTTAATGAACATTATTAAGGTTATATTTTCTTTAAGCCCCATATGTGTCTGTATTTGCAGAACCATGGAAATCATAAGCTTTATCCAAGCACATAGGAAAATCGTAAAATTTGATCTTTATAAGGATTTTGCGCATTGGCCCACAAAATAAGTCCGCTGCTGGTAGCACCCGCACTGTGCACATGCAAATCAATTATTCTGATGCGTAGATGCATGTTTTCTGTGATGCGTAGGCTTAATACTATAGAATGTGAAATTACGCGATCGTTTATGGAAAAAGTTCTATTTTATTCGGCAATGAAATAAGGTTAAAAAACATGAAACGATCACTGCAACGTAATAAATCATTAAAATACACGCTTCTCGATTTATAACGGCCTCTCACGTCTGTTTTATGAGAGGTTATCTTCTAAAGTCGGTATCAGGCTTGATGGTCTTGAGTCGGCCAACTTTATTATCAATGTATCGCCCAGACCAGCTACACTGTGCGCTTTAAATAATTCCCAGGGGGGAAAGCGGAAAGGCAAGTTTAGAGACGAGACTGTGAAGCATTGCGAGACCGACTACCCTACGTTAGCTAACAATGAAGACATCCATTCTATCTTGTGTTAGATTGAAAAACTTTTCTAGCAGAGTAATGGAGGCGAGTACCGATTTAATCTTAAGACCCGTGATTAAATCACACCCTCTAAAACCCCCTCTTTTAAAGTGGATAGGCCGTTTCCCCCGTTCCTCAAAACTCGGCCAATAATAGGACTTTGTTGAATATAATATACAGCCTCGAGGAATGCCATTCTACGTGCATTGAAAAGGGGACGCGGGCTTTAAAAGTGTTATTCCGTTAGAAATATTTCCTCTCACCGTTCATCTTACCTATAAACGGAAATGCAAAACTGAAAGGGAATCCCTTATTTATAACCTTTGGGAGGAAGATAGGTTTTTCTATTTTCTTTCACTCTTCGTGTACGAAAAGAACGGTTAATGTTTATTCCATGAATATGTAAGTGAGCTGTGCGGTTGGAGCTTTTAATCAACCGGATATGACGATCTGCATATTGTAGTATAAAAAGATCATGGAAATGGGAGCAGCGTATTTTTCCAACAAAAGAAATACTTTCGGACACCATTCATAGTAATGCAAAACGCGTAATGAGTCGCTTAACCAGTAGAGAAAAGGGATTTATCTCATGCTACTCCGAGTAACATGTGACCTTACTCTAGTTTAAATTATCTTTCCAATTAAACTTTTCTGAAGTTCGAAAGTTCCACTCCGAAAGCTCTGCCGCACACCGCAAAGTCTATTTTTGAAATACAATCAATAAAACCGTGATTAATTATAGCACGGATGAAATTTTTTATTTTTTTAAAATGTAATCCTTCCCCTGAAATATTTTACACAAAATTAAAACCTAAAGCTTAGCTCTTTCTAATTAAAATTTTCAATGGCAACATTCCTCTAAGTAAATGATCAACGTTTTTTGTTGAAATGTGTATCTTCCTTATGTCGGATTTTAAATAAGTCGAAAGTTTTTTTTTTTGGGCGATTGTTTCTTTTTACAAAATTTTCTTCATTCAAAATGGATATAAAAGTAGTGCATTTTCATGACAATGCATTGTAAATATATAAGGGAACACCTCAGTTCAGATTGCTAAGAAATTTTTTAATTTGTATAATGACGCTATCTTTCGAAACATTTCACAGATACTTAACATATCTCATTCACAAGTTTCTACTCATCTGTGAAGAAATTGATATGTTTGTTAGATATGGGTTTTTCACATATCGATTCAAAATAATATCTTGGTCTGAAATCCATCTGCGATTTCCCTTGTTGAAAGGGAAAAATCCTGGTGAAAACGCAGCGATCTACAGTTAAAACCCCCAAAACCGTATTACATACCAAGAAAATAATAATAGAGGTTTTCAAAAGGGTGTTTAGTATTCTTCTTCTTAGCCGAAACGTTAATTCCACTATTTATCACACAAAATTGGAACGATTAAAAATAAAATTAGCTATATATTTTATCTTTTGGGTCTACCGGGTTCCATATAATTCCAACAAGATTATTATATTAACGACGATTACTGAAAATGGCGAGAAGCAGAAAGGTATCTATCATAACAAAACAGCAATGATCGGAAGTCCATGAATTCTGAGAAACGACACAACACCAGGTTCATCCTGTAGATGTAAAGAGGAAATTATCCGATCTAATAATTATGTCGCTCAATTATTTTCTTTTAAAATTATACACCATTCTATACAGATGAGCCAAATTTATTGTACACCCAAGGAAGATTTTTTTGTAAGATATTTTTTTTTTACACTAGAGACTAGCTGTTTCGGTGTGTAGATTTTTATTTATGTCAGATTAGATGTTCCAATATTTTTTGTTTAAATTTGTTTAGCAAATTCCTTTTTTCAGTTTCATTTTTCAACTCGGTTATTAGCTTGAAATAAAGGAGAGGACAAAAGCCAAAATGACCTAACCTATGAACTATTATTTTTAAAAAAATATCTACGAATATCCTTGGATCAATTTCAACGAAATAAAACTAATTTCCATATAAAAACTATGTAATTTAAGTAAAATACCCTTAGAAAACATGGTGATATTGTTTATAAACAAAAATCGAGTGTGGTAATCGAAAAAAATGACACTTTACCCAATATAAAGAATGCTAACATTTAAATATTTTTTAACGTATTGCTTTGTTTACAGTAATACTTCCAAGTGTTCATAAAAAACGACGCTTGTATTCTGCATTTTTAAAGTATTAACAACAATAGAAAATATAAGGAACGGGCATATAACCCAACAACGTTAAACCAAATTAAATAACATTTATTAGTTTGTCCCAATTTACCAACATTTATATACATTGCGCATAGCAACAAATTGTTATATTTAATAAATTAAGCGTAAAATCAACTCTAAATGCTACAAAATAACAAACAAAAACTTGACAAAAAATGAAATTATTAAGGGATTTTATTCTTTCTTAGATTTTCATATGTTTTTAGCATATTTACTTAAATTCTGCTTGTTTTATATAAACTAATTATGTTCAATTTTGAATTTAATCAGGACGGCTGCTAAGGTTAATCTTTCTTTAAATTTATACGTAAGTAGAAAACTTTAAAAATAAATGAAGTATCTTCCATTTATGTTACTCTCTTCAAATCTTTAATACTAAGGAATTATTTAGGAAATATTTTTATTTGAAGCTCGATTTGTTTGTGGTTGGCTTACATTTTATGTATTAAGTGTATTAATTTTATTTTTTGGACATTTCAAACATGCTTCGTCATAACGATACATAGCTTTACCTATTAGCCATATTTTTTCAGAACTTAATATATCAATGAGAAAATTTTTTTGTGCTATGATGCAACGGACTAAGCATAACTGCATAAAAAGGAGGTGTACTAC